ATGTTCCCCCACCAGATGTAATCAGGACAAACAATCCCCTTTCTGTTCTCTATATAGGCATCTTCTCAGATGACTATGGTATAGCGAGCTGGCCCCATTAACCACATGTCACGTCGGCATTGTGCAGGTGTGGATCTTTCCTGTTTCGTAACCTGTCTGGATTTGAACTGTGTCACATTGGGAATGACCTGGAAAACAAATATATGGATAACCCGAGGCTCCTTTTAACCCACCCAGGCTCCAATTTCTTTTTTTTCTAAAAGGGAAGCTGCCTTGACATTATACCGCAGATTGGAGTCAGTTTTATTTTTGCCTTGAGCTTTTACAGAGTAACAGACAGCTCTCGTGTGAAGGTCTTCGTGCTGACATGTATGTTTGGTTAAAATGCTAGCAGTGGGAAAATCATGATGCGGTCTTTTGTGTGTATCCCTTTAGAATCAGAATCAGAATCAGAATACTTTATTGATCCCTGGGGGAAATTATTTTTTTTACAGTGCTCCATTTTAAACCAACATTAAGACAAGACAGACAATACGCTAACTAAGAATAGTACAATATATACATATATATACATACATACATACATACATACATAAGTCACTTATAAATAAATAGTTGGAAAAGAAACATGTGTAGTTGTAGCAGCAAACAGTGTGTTAAGTGGATGCGTTGTACAGGGAGATGGCCACAGGCAGGAATGATTTCCTGTGTCGTTCAGTGGTGCTTTTCGGTAATCTCAGTCTCTCACTGAACGAGCTCCTGTGACTGACCAACATGTCATGGAGTGGGTGGGAGGTGTTATCCAACATTGTCTTTATCTTGGACAGCATCCGCCTCTCCGACACCACCTTGAGGGAGTCCAGCTCCATCCCCACAACATTGCTGGCCTTACGGATCAGTTTATTAAGTCTGTTGGCATCTGCGACCCTCAGCCTGCTCCCCCAGCATGCAACAGCATAGAGGATCGCACTGGCCACCACAGACTCATAGAAAATCCTCAGCATTTTCTGGCAGATGTTGAAGGACCTCAGTCGCCTCAAAAAATAGAGACGACTCTGGCCCTTCCTGTAAAGTGCTGTGGTGTTTTTAGCCCAGTCCAGTTTATTGTCAATGTGTACTCCAAGGTATTTATAGTCCTCCACAATGTCAACTGACCCTGGATTGAACAGGGTCAATGTTCTGTCTCTGAAGTACGATCAGTTCTTGGTTTGGAACTTTATGACAATTTGCCTCAAATAAACAAGAGCAGCAGCAAATTTACTGCTTTTTCACTGGGTAAATGTTGTTTCTGCAGACCCTTGAGCCTTGGTGGCACTTGCACTGCTCTGTTTTAATTTTGAGAGGCCCCTAGTAAGGGGCCATGCTAATATACAAACACAGCTTTGTGCACTGGGATGAACCAGACCTTGAAGGCTTAAAGAATATTGATTCCCATCGCTCTGCGTAGCATGCGGTTCGTGCTTCTTCTCTGAGGGGACTGTCTTACAAATGTCAAATTTATAGCCCTGCTATGCTGATCGAATTACTTCTGCTGTCGTGGGGATTAAGCTTTGATTTCATTAACCTTTTTCAGGATTCCCCACAACCAGTGCCAATAAAAACAATGCAAGGCTTAGGCGGCATTAACACAAAATGTTGTTCGTGATTATCCAGAAGACTTAATGAAGACACTTAGTTTGTTATGAAAATCATCCTACTTTGTCTGTTTTTTTTACATTTTGATCTATAACCGTGTATTCACCGGTCACCTTAGTAGGTACACCCTAGTATTAGGTTGGGCCTTCAGAGTAGCCTTAAGCTTTCATGGCAGAGCACAGTTGCTGCACATCCATGATGAGAATCTCCTGTTCCACCGCATCCTAAAGGTGCTCTACTGGATTGAACTCTGCTGTCTGTGGAGGCTATTTGAGTCCAGTGAACTCATTGTCATGTTCAAGAAAACATTTGGAGATAATTAGAGCTTTGTGACATGATGTGCTTTCCTGTTTGAAGCAGCCTTCAGAACATGGGCACACTGTGGTCTTAAAGGGATGAGCATGATCAGTAACAATATTCATTTACCCCCCCCTACTCCTAACCAGGGCCAACACCAGCAGCAGCCTGAGCTGTTGATACAAGGCGGGATGGATCCGTGCTTTCTTGCTGCCAAATTCTGACCATCTGAATGCTGCAGTGGAAATTTAGACTAATCAGACAAGGCAATGTTTTCACTATCTTATGTTGTTCAATTCTTGTGAATATGTGTGAATTGTAGCCTCAGTTTCAGTGTTCTTAGCTGAACATTTGCTTTAAGATGTGGACTTCTGCTGCTTCAGGGTTTGAAGTGTTGTGCGGAGCTATGCTCTTCTGCATAGCTTAGTTGTAAAGACTGGTTAGTTGAGTTACTGTTGCCTTCCTATTAGCTCAAAGCGTTTTGTCCCTTTCTCCTTTAACCTCTGACATCAGTAAGGCATTTTTCTCCCAGAGAACTGCTTCTTTGTTTTTCAGTGTTTTCGTGGAAAAAATCCCAGTAGATGAGCAGTGTCTGAAATACTCACTCCACTCCATCTGGCACTGATATCATGTCACTTAAATCACCTTTCATCCAATGGTGGAACTTCCCAGTAAATATGGTCATCTTGACTGTATTTACAGTTTGTATCAGTTTCATTGCAGTAAGTCAAATTCATCGAGTTCTTGCCTCATGATTGGACGATTACCTGCCCGCATTTATCAATGAACATGTGAACTGGCCAGTGAGTGTAGATCTAATTGGCACCAATATCATTTTAAGGTTTTTCATTTTTGATGCTTTGGGGAGTTTAAACAAAGCAGTGTTTGTAACACAGTACTTTAGTTTACCAGCTGTTGTTCCGTGACCACCTGTGGCTGTTGCAACCTTGTGTCATAATTGTGTTGGGTTGGCTAGAGTGTATCTATGCCAGTGTCTCGAATCACTCTCCATTACACTGTATGCAGCAATCTTTCTACGTTTTCCCTTCCCGGAGCTAAAATGCTCACGGACTTTTAATAATGCTGTCATCATTGTGCTTTTATTTAAGCTGTCATTACGACAGTGATGACACATGGTTGGCTTTCTTTCAAGTAATATGTACATTGTAACTCCGCACCTGATGCAAACAGCTGATAGACGCATAGCTCAGAATTAGGAATGATTAACTGTATACCATGCCTGAAGAGGTGAACCTCATTCTCTCACTGGGTGCTGACTTTGTGTGTGTGTTTGTGTCCAGTGGCTGTGATGGGGGGGATGGAAGGAATTTGTCATGTTGGCTTTTAGAGTTTTAAGAGGGCGTTTCTCATTTCCTTTGGGTTCACCTGCGTAATGTTTATTGTTACTGTGGCGATGAGCAGCGAGCTCCCACACAGAAACTACCAACTCCTCCTAATTTTGCACTGTGATGTCATGAACTGCAATATCTCTGCCTCTACACATGCGTGAAGTGTTTCCAGCTGCGCGTCCTTTACCCGGAGTCGATTGTTTTAACCGATGCATGAAACTATACATTTTTAGACATAAGTTGTAACGGCCGCCGTTTTCTTTGTGAGTATTTATTACACGGCGTGCTGCGGGGAAAAGCCTGTTCTAACGTTTGAGTCTAAGGTTTATTTTTTTAGCACCTGGCAGCTCTTTTTTTTTTTTTTTTAACTTCTCATCCGTAAATAATCTGCTCTTTCACGTGATTCAGTTTATTTTGAAAAGTCTCAACAGGATCCTGAGCTTTATTGTGAAAGGTTTATGTGGAACATAAACAAGCGGACACGCGAAGGTGTTACCCTCGCTGTTGCTAAAGACAACGCATAAAAACAGGCGCTTGTCCGTCAGTAGTGTGGGTATATAAAATATAAGAGAAAGAGAGAACTTTAAGAAATTAATATAGCCACTACAGTGACCATCAGAACAATGAAAAAATATTGTCGTAAACAGTTTATTTTGCGACACCACGAAACAAACGATAGCGTAAAATGAAACAATAGATGTTTTTATATCGTCATCCGATATATCGTTATATCGAACAGCCCTAGTGTGCACATGTCTTATACTATGACAAATCAGGTGCATTTCTTGTTAAGGTTTGTTTTTGGGTATAAAAAGGTAAAGGATTAAAAAAACAAAATAAAAAAATGGTGTATAGGGGGGAAAAGGTTGATTCAGAAGCCTCTTTCAATAAGCAGTAAGAGGACCTAGATTTGTGAAGCCTGGCCTCTGGGTTAAGAACTATGTTTTGTTTGCACATGGCATATCCTTATTTGGTTGAAACCATTCTTTTCTCTTCATTGGAAAGATTGCTCTGCTGCTATTAATACAGTACTGTAGGAGCCTGTAATGTGTTCAGAGGGATGGTAACCAAAAATCCCACACAATTAACTGTTCTAGGCAACGCTGTGTTATGAATGTTTTTACTGTTGTCCAGCTACGTAAAGACTATAAATAATCCCAAAGTAAGCAAGAACATCCAGGCCAGACCTTGAGTTCATGTTATACCGTTTAACTCTAAGGTTTCAAAATGAACACAGGGTTGGGAGGAACCATGGATATCAGTTGTAAACACCCAAGTGCAGCCCCGTAGCGTCGATTGCATGTGGAATTCAGGACATTCGACCGACTGTTTTCCTGCATAACAAGATAGCAGAACTTGTCCTTTTCTGTTTAAATATTAGAGCATTCTTTCCATGCTCCCCTCCACTGATGACCTGCAGGAGTGGGAGTGCTGTGGGAACACTCCCGGGCGAGTGCCAGCTAAACAGATAGAAATGCAGATATACAGTACACTGTTTTGCCATTGCTGTGTTCCAAGCTTGAGGACACATTTGGCCTGTTTTTTTTGCTTAATTCTTGATTAAAAACAACAAAAAAGGCATCGTGTGTTTAATCTGTTTTCTTATTTGCACGTGAATACAGAAAACGGCCTCTGTTTTGTTAGACTGACAATGGATGCATCTCAGTTATCCTGTTGTGACTGTGGGTTAATGAATGTTTTTATTTGCTTTAACCCCAGGGGCTCTGCAGAAAGGATTCCAGGAATCTTGCCATGTTCAAGGCAGTGCTGAAGAAGAACAGAGATGGAGGCAAGGGGAGCAAGAAGGATTCAGGTATGTGTAAAATCTGGAAGAAAAACAGCTAGGATCCAGGAATCAGATACACCAAGACACTAAAGCTACATTCAGAGTTTATAAATTCATTCCTGACTAAGCTTTATGAAGTACCCTTCACAGATGGCCTTCTAGTTAAAGATTGAGAATGTGATAACCGAAGTGAGTTAAGTGAGCTGAAGAGAACAGAAGAGAAAGCTAAATCTGAAGTGTGCTCTTGGCAAATATACAAAACTGATGGTGGGGGGGAAAAAAATAACTTTTTCCATTTGACCTATAAAAAAAACAAAACAAACCAGTGCTTCATTTCTAGATATCTGTAAACACTGTTGCCATAACTAGAATGGTACTTGAGTAAAAACCTAAGATGTGCACTTGAACTTTAAAGCTCCTCCTGTACTTGTCCTCTATGCGGGGAGTTTTCCAGTTTTGGTAAAAGATGGTGTGGGAAGAAATGACAGCTATATGATCTCACACATTGTAGGTCACTGGTGACACAGCGCGCCATAGACGGAAATCACGCAGCCATTGCTACATCTCTAACTGTGAGATCAGAGCAGGATACCTTCTTTCTTTCTATCTTTGATTTGACTGGAGATGCAATGTGACCGTTGTGTCATAACAGATGTTTCACTTTGGAAGCTTGCATCGGGCCTTTCCAAAATGACTAATCATGAGTCAGTCTTAGCAATACATTGTTTACTTGTACGTGCAATGGCTTTCTCCAAAGACGTGTCTTGAAATAGCAGGTTGACCATTTATGCTTATACTGCACCTACCAGCCTAGACCTGCTGTAGCACCTGAGGGCTTGCCTCAGAAGTCTGGTTCAAACAGTCTACAGTGTGCACGGTAGATGTCTCATAGCTCCTTCTATCGTGCTCTATCATCCTTTGTCTGATGTGATTGTTTCACTCAACAGCCGGTGTTAAAATTAAAGGGGAAACCGTGACTTTCTTTCCACAGACACACACACACAATACTTCACCACATCACCTCGACTGCTTTCCAGTACATTAAGGGATTGAGATCTGAGCACTGCAGCCTTGTATACATTTTCCTTAATGAAGGTGTTGCAACCTGTCTAGCCTGTATGAATCACTCAGATAGCGTAGTTTTCTTGTTATTCCACACTTAAACACAGAAGTTACTGGGTGTGTGAAGACCAAGAGCAGCAGAGTTTTATGGCGGGATAGAAGTCTTTATCCCCAGCCTCAGCTTCCCAGTTGGAACCCATCCATCAAGCTGAAGTGGCTCTGCCTCCTTTTCTCATGCTGGGACAATAAAAGTCTTGCCACTCCTTTCTGTTGTTTAGGGCTCTTATGGTTGAGAGGTCAGCTACAACTGCTACCTTTGCCCCACTGTTGTGCCTGCATGTGGCCTGTATATCTGTTATATATCTTTATTTTCTGGGCTTTAACAGTTTATTTAGTTACTTGACCTCAATGAAATGTAGGTAATGTCATAAAAAGTTGCTGGCAGATCATCTCTTTATAATCTTGCCCTTCCTGGGACTTAAAATGTAGTTAGGAATACATAAAACCTGATGATTGGATACACTACGCATTATGTACATGCATTTTTTAAATGATTATTTATTAGTCTTATAAGTCTGGTTTTTTTTCTGGCCCTCTAAGCGTCCTTAGAGGCTGGACTCTACAGACTTTCCTTTCTTCAGAAGATCCAGAAGGACAAAATGTCTGTAAAATGTGCTCAGCAGCATATAATGGAAATAAGTGGGAGGAACGACCTTGATAATCGTATAATTGCACGAGAGCTCAGCATATGTTGGTCATGACTTGGTGGCTATGGACTGGAGGCGACTTTAAAACAGTAAAGGAAACTTGGCCCCCATGCCAGATACCACTACAGTCATTAGCTCTCCTTTGGGATCTCCCCATTGCCAAGACCACAAAAACACACAGCTTGCTAATTTAGTCTCTCCATCTTGTGCTCCTCCTAGGTCCTTCCTCCTTCGTTTCCTCCTCCTTCCCACTTGCCTCTCCTGTAGTCAATCTGCAAGGAATCTGTTTGAAATTGACCATGTGAATCCCTTTTAAGTACTTTTTTATGGTCTGCCATTCCATGAGTGGGCACTAGTTTGCTGTGGGTAGTTGCCTTTTGATGTTCTCATTTTCTGAGAGCTGGGTAATTGTAGCAGGGACATGCTGTGTATAGGAATCACTACGGTCGATATTTGGGACACTGGGAAAATTATTGCATTATAAAGATTAAAATGTTGTTGTAGCTGGTGCTTGCTGGGAGGGTGCATCCCTCTATTTAAAGATCAGGTTGGTAGAAATAATGATGCTGTCTCGCCATGACACGAGTTTATATGAAATTGCTCTGCTTTGTTCTTTAATTTTTAATATAACAGCAGTCGGACTTAACAAAAATGAATAAGGAGAGTTATGTTCTCAAGATGCTGTTGCACGGTGGTGACTTTCCTTTGGGTGAGTTCCTTGGAGACAACTTTTTGTCTTAGTTGGAGTTCAGTCAAGTAATTAATCAGCTGGTTTTCTTTAGCAGCCTGTAAAGTACATAGTTTGTCACCATGTTTTTTAGATCATACCAAGGACCTTTGTTAAGACATGTGAGTCTACATTTTTCCACCAAGATTTAATGCTTTTTCTGGCAAACTGGCCTCAGTGGCCCATTTCTTTACCCTTCACAGAGGCCCCAGTAGCTTTCTCCTTTTGAAGCCTTACTGTACTGAGAGGAGTAAATAGTTGCTTTCTTCACATCAGTTCGTGCTGATATATCCAGGAAAATTGCATTTTTGGCTCGGCTTTAATTGCTGAGTGTGACCGTGTGTTACCGTAATACCTGAATGAATGCCCACTTACTTAGGCTTACTGCTCCATGTGCTGCTTGAAGCAGCTGCCACACAGTTGTCTGTCTGTTGTGGGTGATGTAGTGTTAATCTCACTAGCTGTCCACTCTTTGAGGTAACAGTTTCAGCTGTTTATTCCTCCGACTCCCGGCACATTCACCAGCCTTGTACACACAACGAATATGCAGTTACCAGCAGTTGCCAGGACTTTTCTCCCTTTGTTTGTCAGTATAGCAACAGAAGCCACACATGCACCTGGCTGGACCGGGAGGAGCTACTCTGTTGTTGACCTGAGACCTGGGGTCAACCCCTGCTTTATGTCCCCACAGATAATGGCCAGCCACTTGCCCTAGTTTGCAAATATTAGGAGGAATTGTGGGTCTAATCATTTAAATGTGAAGGAAAAGCAAACCCCAGATGTGGTTCTATTTTCCAGTTAAACCAATATACGAAAATGACTACGTCCCCCATAAAACGTGACAACTTTGTTCTTTTTTTTTTTTTTTTTTTTTTTGTCAAGGGATATCAAGGGACTATTTGGTCACATTACTTTTATTATCAAGGTCTGATATGGCATAGAACGTGTTGGCTCTTCAAACACATGACGATAAGCAGCTTTACACAACAACAAAAATTTGTCACCGGTTCAGTGACTTGCAAAGTTTCTAAGTCTTTTAATTCCATTTCAAAGCGATTCACGGCCTGAGCAGACTCTTTGAATTTCAGGAAGATTAAGTGAAAAATTTATGGAATCTAAGTGATGTAAAAGACCCGCATTCAAAGTACTGGTCATTCTGTGTGTGTGTGTGTGTGTGTGTGTGTGTTTGAGAGAGAGAAAGAGAGGGCATTAAGAACTTTGTTGCCTCAGCTGTGGCGGAGAATGGTACGTGCTGTCTCTGCACTTTCTGTGCGCTTCTTGGGTGTTTTGACATAAAACAGTGATTTGTTGCTAAAGGTCAGACAACAGCAAATTGGTTAACAAAGCAGAATTTTTGTTTAGGTGGCTTTCTGATTTTTAAATACTGCTGTGATGTTGGAATAGATTAAATCTTTTAAGGCAGGCGCCAGAAAAGCGAATCGATCGTACTTTAGGGGAAGAGTTTTTTGGTTTGTTATGTTGTAAAATCTCACATCTATTGTGAATTTTATTGCAAGCTCTGCTCTGCATACTCGTGTATCACCTCTCTGTTGAGGTACAGTGTTAGAAGAACAGCTGGCATTGCAGAGATTCCAGGGAGTTCTCTCTGTTACAGCTGCCCCATTAGGATTATCTTACCGTTAGGGGAAGACTTTCCTCTGTAAACAATAACCACAGGTGGCTGAGTTATTTGTCCAAACATAAAGGAGCTTTTGATATAAGGTTCTCCATTCGAACAAAGGCAGCTTTTTTTTTTTTTTTTTTTTTTTTGTTACAGGGAGGGAAATGTAAAATCCCGCTTGGTTGTATGTTATCTTTGCTCTGAGATGGCGTCGGTTCAGAATGAAAAGACTCAAACAGACTTGCTTTCGCCCCACAATTTTGTTTCATTGTCTGGTTGCAGAGGATGTGTGTGTGATGTCGATGTCTGAGGCCCAGGTTCTGAGGCCTTTGTTCTTTGCTGCTTCGGGTGCAGTCTTCATGTGCGAGTTTAGGATCACAGTAAATTCTTTCACCGTCTCGTGATGTCTAACACTCCACTCAGACATTAACAAACACCACTAGGTGCAGAATCTGCCACAAGTTCCAGTACCTCACTGTCTGTATTTTTCTCACTGAACAGCTGGGTGGCAGGCTCTTCTCTATACATGTTATCCGCAGACATTTGGAGAAACGCTACCTGCTTGGCCTGTGGTTGTGAGAAAACTTAAAGAAAACCTCTGTGAGTATATGTAGCTACAGGAAGTGTAGTTTCCAGAGCTCATTCGCTGTGTGACCATTACAGAACAACCACTTAACAACCAGAAAATAAATGAGTGTCAAACAATCTGAAAATACATTGTTAATATCCTTGGATTTACCCATCATATGTAAAGCTCAGAACATTACAATTGTCTCTTTTGTCATAACCTCTTGATTTTACCACTTAAAAGAAAAACTCTTCCAGGTATGAGGCTCTAGATTGCCTATAGTGATAACCTTCAGCTTTTGTCTGAATAATCTGTGATAAATAGGCTTTTAAAATCACCTCT